AAAAAAGAAAAAAAAAGAAAAAACAAACAAACAAAAAACAGGACTTGTACATGCATGTCAAGTTTGGAGCTTACTGCCAAAGTATATTACTTACTCTACGTACGCAACAAATTTGTCTTTCAACTCCAGCGCATGAGTTCAAGAAGTGCAAAACTTACCAACCATGTTGTATAAGCTGTGAGGTTCCACGTGTGAAGGAAGCGTCCGTACTGCATCGTGATAGACCTCAAATGCGTCCTTCAGGTTTCCTTTATCTGCTAGAATTCTACCAAGATTGTACTTTATTTTATGAACTGCCAAAGAAGAGTTAAATCAGTTTAAAACACAAGAAACCCAAGCAAGGCATTTTAAGTATTGAAGTAAAATATTTTTATTTTGTTTGGTTGAAGAAGATACCGGAAGGCCAGGAATCTGAGAACGTACGATRTATACATMCTGAAGACGCATGAGAATTTTTGAACCAATCAAATCAAAGAATCATTCGTGTCCAAACAGAGCCTTTTCTTTCCTGTTGGGGAACTGTTGAAGGATCTGGGTACGAGAAGGATGCATGATGGGTCAGCAGTATTAAAAAAACGTACCTGCTGTAGTGTGTGCCTTAGGGTCCTTTAGTCCGTGTTCGCTTAAAGTGGAAGCATTGCGAAGAACCTTAACAAAAGAGTAGACAATAAGAACGACATCTTAAATCATGTATGTCAAAATCGCAGTGATGTTTGGGATAAAATTCGAGAAGCGCCGAGAGTAATTTGAAAATCTGCAAACTTTTGTAGTCTTAAAGTTTAGTCTATATATACAGTGCAAACTCTAACATAATGAAAGATTGTACTTTTTTCATGCTTTGTGAATATAATGTTTAGCTTGCGTGGCGGCTCTAGGGGAGGGGGAGGGGGAAAACGGAAGGGGACGGGGTGGGGAGGCGCGCTCCGCCTCCCCACCCTCTCCCCTTACGTCCCCCCTCCCCTTATAGAGACGCCACGCAAGCTATGTAATGTTGGACAATGTTGGTTCTTACTCTGATAGCATCACCATGACGACCGAGATGTTCTAAAGCGATTCCAAGATTCAGATGAGCAACTGAAAAAAATACCACAAACAGCAGTTATCTATTAAAGAGTGATTTCACATAATGGAAGTTATTAAACCAGTGAAACAAAATTTGACTATTAAAATGTGATTGTCACAGAAGAAAACAACGCAATCAGAGCGTACTAAGGTGTTAGTGTAATATCTATTTCACGGGTTTTTGACTAAATTCTAACACATGACATAATTCATGAGGTACACTGAGAACGTCTGAGATAAAACTTACGCGCAAGAGAGGGTCGATATGCAATGGCGTACTGGTAGCATACAACCGCGTCCTGGTATTGCTTTCGATCAGCCAACAACACACCACTGAAATAAGAAGAACGTTGTCAAATAGAAAGAAAAAATAGTCCTAAAAACCTTATTAAAAAATATATATCACGTTGAACAAGTCTCTTTGTATTTTGATCAATTCCTATTATTGTAAATTATTATCGAAARAGCTGCTACTTACAGGTTGTAATGTGTGTCCGCCATGTTGGATCGATAAGACAATGCATTGCGGTACGCCGCTTCTGCCTCCAACATTTTTCCTTTACCGCTGAGTATTGTGCCAAGATTTGCCCATGCTACAAAAAAGATCAAACCTAGAGCCTCAGTAAACGGACGGTTTACTTRGAATTTCTAACTCTATAGAAGTCTCAGCTTTGCTGGAACTATTGGGTGGTTTTATCAAATTATAGAGTCAAACCACGGTCCCCAACCTCATGGCAATACCGAGATATTTAACGAAGTTAAAGTTCTTGAATTTACTGGTCCTTAAGGCCAGAAAAGCGGCGAAATCATTTCCTTTAATAGTAACTCCAGTTTCGAGATCTTATTTGTGCAGGCTTAACCTCGAAAGCATGCAATATATYATTTTATGAAGCAGAAATGTTATTGTATTGCAAACACACATAAAACTTTATGCTTGATTGGAGCTAAGCTTGCACAAAAGAGAATTCGAAACTGAAGTATTCAGTAGTTTTTTGCTTTCCTTGATTGTGATGTTAAAGCAAGTTTACCGCTAGTTTCCATCATTTTTTTTTTTGATGCATTATAATTAATTGTAACGTAAGGAATAAGAAAAACAAATAATAACAAGAATAAATAAATAAAAGTGAGCATACCTTTTGCAGGGTTTACATAAATTCCGGATCTGTAAAATSAAAAAGAAAAATATTAAACGTGATTCAAAGTGCRARTAAACTAAAACAATGYCTTGTACCTGTAAAGTGTTTCTCCGTCCTTCCAGTCCATGTTACGATTAACCGTCTTTACTGAAAACAATACCAACAAAACACAAACCCAACCAACCACCCACCTTCTCCTACTAYTWCCACAATACCTCAACAACAAATCTAAACCTATCGCAACCATTATACAATACCCTACACTAGGAATATACAACACTCGTTCAGCCACCACGAAACCCACATAGAAAAACAGATTGCACGCTGGTATGAAGGGAAGTATTAATATCGCCATGGAGACAAGAAATGATTGACAGTCATGTGACGTATAAATGTCGTCCCCAGGCATGCTCGGTTGAGTTTTAGCCTCGGGGATTTTACGGCGTTCCTTTGGACTTATTTGAATATTATGTTTGGATCGATTGATGATTCTCTTGCGGATTCCATTCGTTCCATTCATTCCATTATGCATGCGTGCATACTCGGGACCCAGTCCCTTATAATTWGCATTTAATTCCACAAACATCCTTTTAAMATTCTCTAAATTGACCCTTCTCAACGCGCTTATACCAAGTGCGAAAAGACAGCTATAAAATATAATTGACAATGAGTTCCTCCAATCAAAAATACTCTGGACAAGAGGTATAGCGTCCATTGACCAATCAAAACTCAGTGTT